TAAAACAAATAAAGGCCAACAATGAGCAATTTATTAAATCAAAAGCGGAATTGTCAGTACGGGATTGTCAAATGATTATTAAGTGAACGAAAAAAAATGTAATTAAAGTGAAATCGTTACAGTGTCAAATTTTAAAGTAAACAGTTATAGTAATATAGCAAAGGAATATTGTTATAACTGTTTGTTTTAAAATTTGACTGTGTACCAATTTCATCTTACTTATACTTTAATTCGCTGATTCTATGATCATTATAGACAATCCTGTACTGACGAAATTCGTATCGTTTTGAACTTAATACATATTCGTCTTAATAATGAAGAATCAATTATAAATTAATTTTGTCAACTGACTACCGAATTATATTTATTTTTAAATTTACTACGCTTTAAAATTAACACATTTCATACAATTATAGATTTAGTTAGATTTTAGAAAATGTTTAGACGTTTACTATCTGTTATTTTTTATTTTTTATTATTTACTATGTTTCATTTTGTACTATTTATTATCTTGTATATACACTTTTATATAATTGTGACATTTAATATGTATGTATACATCAGTCTCAAAATTGCCTTTACGAATGCCTACTTTCTAATGATCTTTTTTTTATAGCGCTCCATTCTTTCATATTTAATTTCACTTAATAATAAATTAATAACTTACATGTAATTTTATTTATTTTTTTTTTAATAATGAAGAGGGCTCTGTGAACTCGAAAAATTTACTCGCTTAATTTTGTACGCGCACATTGAATCGATTACTCTTTAACACACTTGATAAATAGCTTAGTTCTTGGCTTTATTTAATTTACTTTTTGTCTTTGCATAATACGAGCCACAAATGTTTTACTTATTTTGCGAAAAAAAATTGATTTTATTTATGATGATGCTATTAAAACAAAACTGTCTTTCAATTTATGTTCTCGCAATGTAGTTGAAGTGGCGGAACAGTTGATGGATGCAATAGTTACAGGCGCGGGAGACGCTGCACAAGAATTCCT